CCTGTCAAATTGCAAACCAAATTATATCACCATAGTTTTGTAAAGAGTCCCAGGTCCTCCAAAAGGCATCACATTCTTAAGTTGAACTGAAACATACCTCCAAGGCTCTGAGAAGATCTTCCTTGGTGTGTGAGGCAGATATACAAATACGTGCTCTGGCCAAAAGTAGAGGAGTAGCCGGGAAAGCAACTGTCACAACAGCAACCTGTACCAACATGATGTATTATCTAACTTGGTCTAAAAGCCAAAACACTAATAGAAACGAAGAAATGCACTAGAAAGATGGCTTTCATGAATCAAAGATAAGAATACGAGAGTGATTGGCATGTGAATTAACAATAAACTCACATTTTGCTTCAGACATTCCCTAGAAAAAGCAGGAATTTTTGCTGGATTGTAGAGCATTATGGGCATTACAGGGGAATCATTGTCTCCGAGAACCTCAAAGCCCATCTTCTGCAGCTCTGACCTGAAGAAGTTGCTGTTTTCACGAATCCGTGCAAGTTTCTGAGCCCCTCGACTGGTACCATCCTCTCCAAGAATGACCTTAATAGCAGATATGATTTGTTGAGCAGCTGGAGGTGAGACTGAAGTTGCGTATAGATGAGCCGGGCAAGTGTATTTAAGATATTGTATAACCTCCTGAAAGTGAAAATGATACATGAGAGGGAGATAATAAGGCGGAAATTTGCTTAACTTCTACTGATATTCTTAATCAATTTCAATCATAAGGCTTCTTGATATGACCAAAATCAATGGAAGTACCAACCTTGGATCCAGCTATATAACCACCACATGATCCAAATGATTTTGTAAAAGTTCCCATCATTATATCTACATCCGCCGTGTCAACCCCTAATAATTCGCAGACACCTCTTCCCGTTTTTCCAACTGCTCCAATGCTGTGAGCCTCATCCAGGTAAACATATGCCTGCAACAAGTAGAAAGCAACAAGCAGAAAACAAGAAGCAAACGGTGATACTTAGTTAATCTGTTTTGAAAGACTAGAGTGAAATCATTTCTAGCAAGTACAGGATCATTTAGCAGTGTAACAAATGTATTACCTTATATTTCTTACATATTGCAACAATCTCTGGAAGCTGGCAGAGTTCTCCTTCCATACTGTATATCCCCTCGACAATGACAATTATCTTCTTCCATGGTCTATGTGTCCTAGGTTGTCCCTCAGAAATTTGCTCTCTCAAAACTTTCTCCAAGTGCGAAGGAGCTGAAAGAAAGATGGAAAACAGATTTGTATGAATAAAGAGAGCTTTTCAGGAAATAATCATGCTCGAAATATGAGAGCCATATAAAACTTACTATTATGTTGGAAAACTCGAACTGTAGCTCCTGAGCCTCGGGCACCATTCACAATTGAGTTGTGGTTCAATGAATCGCTAATTATCAGCCCTCCCTGCAGATAAAATGCAATTACCAAAAAGAGTTCATACATGAACTTGAGACGTCTATAAGAGTATTCTAAGCTAGTAAATGACTTTATGTAGATACCTTCCCAACGAGGATAGGAAGGATGGCAGAGTTCGTCACATAACCCATGCCAGTTACCATAGCATCTGGTTTTCCAACAAAGTTTGCAACACACTCTTCCAGTTCTTTGTGCAATGTTGTAGTTCCTGGTGGAAAAATTGATTTAGTTCATACCCAGATACACATAGCCAGAAACATATTGTAAAAGAACAATCATTACCCCCGTCAACACGACTGCTACAAGTACTTGGGGAAAACTTCTTCAATGACTCGATGGCACGAGGTGTGCAGTATTCATCAGATGCAGCAAAGCCTAAATAATTATACGATCCCAAGTTGAGGCACCTACTTATCTTTGTTGTTCGTCTGCATCAAATACAATCACATACATTAACCCACCACCAAAAAGAAACAAAAAAATAACGAAAACTGAGAGAAAATGGTTTACAAATTAGAAAGCTATGAACTTTGTGTTTTCATAACAAAGTACTCACTTTAGGGTCTTATTGTTGTCATTAGAATAACGCTCAACAACATCAAACCAAGCATCAGGAGCACTTGATATTGGTCGTCCAAAACAATCCTACAGAGATTTTATCAACCACAACATTTTAGCTTCTCAATCTCATACAAGACACTTGCAACACAGATATGTACATACGAATATATGGGAAGCAAGGATTTTGTAAAAAGAAACAGAAACATTAGAAAAATCTCAAATTACATCAATTACACAACAAATAATTGAATTTTGTAGATTGTATGTGTAATACCTGAATTCGATTATACAAACGACGAATGTAGAAATCCTCAAGCCCTAAACAGATCGGCGCGTAACCCTACAACAATCAAAATTACATTTTTAAAAATAAAACAAAGCAAGCTAATCCGTACATAGATAGGGAGAGGAAATGAGAGAGACGCATAAAGAGCAGAGGGAGAAATGGGGGACCTGGAGATCGCCAGACTGCCACCAATCAATGATTTTTCTGAAGAAGTCTCGCAATTGGCCGAAGGCAAAGAGCAAGCCGTAGCTGAAGTAGGTGCTCAACGCGGTCAAATACGGAATGGTTATCATCTTCGACCTCTGAAACCCCCCGAAGCTCAGCTGAAAGCTGGAGCTCGCCAACAATGGCTGCCTTATCTGGAATGGGTTGAATTGGATCCCAACCCACCTCTTTCCAGTGCTTTTATTTTCTGGGTTTTCGGTTTGAATGCTGACTTTTGACTTCCGTTATTGTTTCATTTCAGGAATTCAAGTTCAGATTGGAATTTCGTTCATCGTTGGCATTGTGGAATTTGCCTGGCTACAGTCACAGTGGGCCTAATAGCATCCAAAAGTGGGCTAAGATGAGAAGAAAGAGAGAGGCCCAAATGTACAGCCCAATATTTCAATTTTATTTTTGGACAAGTGGCTGGTGAAGAAAATCTGATAGGCTGCTGCTGTTTGTTTTGTGAGAAAGTTCTGATAAGTTGAGGGAAAAAGAAGAAAACAAGCATTTATCCCTGCACTCGATGTTCGGAGTTCAATTATCTGCCTTTAAATATCGTTTGTATTAAGAAAAGTAATGATAAATAAAAAGAATGCATAACTAATGTCATATATGTGCTGCCATCTGTTTGGATGATATGTGTTGTCTAATGTATGTTTTGTTAGCTCTCACACATAGAAGGTGTGCATAGTCTACTCATTTCATGAAGAAAATACATATAACCCTTTTAGAATTGAATTATTAAATAAATAAATAAAATAAGGAGGCCCTCTCTTTGAAGTGGGGACATGAATAGTTGCACTTCCTATCATGACAGAGAGTCAGCCGTGAGTTGAACTCTTGTCGTGGATGTGACGCATAAACACTATCTGTGCACGTAATCGAATTTGAATTTTGAATGCATTAAGTAACACCAATGACCTTGCTTAAAGTAGCTAAGCGTATAATAAAAGGGTTTGTCACATTTCTACTATTACTGACCTAAAAAGAAGATTAATGTTCTACTGTCAGATCAAACATATATTATATACATGTATATACATATTCTGAACAGCTGCACATTGGAATGACATGCAGATAGAAATGTACCTCTACACTGTTGACCCAAACCACATCAGCAGAGCTTAATTGCATACACACGGAAGAGATGAAGGTCTAGCATGAAAGGTAAGAGCCAGTCAGACTAGCCTAAGAGACAACTTGCCTAGCTAGAAACCCAGAAACCATAGAGCTCCAAGCTTGAACATATCTTTAATTATATCAAACTCAAATGATCAGCATTTCTTTGATTAGGCAAGTCATCCTTGGCTACCAAACATGGCTCTTTACCTTCATACCAGACTTCTCTTCCTCTGAATTACTTCTGTTTTTGCCCATGTAATCTCCAATGTGACCAAACCTCTATTTATAGCCATTTTGAAAAGTGAACAGTAGATGATCAAATTGTCACCTGTTGTAGTTCCCAGGATATGGAATATATTCCCTCCAATTAGAGAGCGCCAAATTGTATCCATTTGATCTTCATGGGCTGCAATTAGAGCTGGTTTTGAGGTGCTGGCTCTGCATGGATAAGTACTGAGTTTCAAGATTGATGAGTCAAAAGGTGCAAAAGCTCTTCAAATTAGAATCTATTGAAGCAACTTGCACTTAATCTCTTCAGCACAGTTCATTTGACCTTTCACTTTCATTAATATCAAAAGACAACTTATTAATAAGCCCTTTAATTTCTTTTTATCAAAAGATCCAAACTCCATAATCTCGAATTGATACGAGCGATAAAATAGGAAGGAGGGTGAAATCGAATACACGTTGTTTTGAGTCATATCTCTTTGATCATATGTAGCCATCCACCCAACCCACTGTATTTCCAATTTCCCCATTAACATTCTCATCACTGCAAAAGAAAATGCTATGAAAAGGAAATTGTTTTGACCTTGATTGAGCAATCAAAACATCTTTCATCCTAAATGATCTTAGAATATATAAAGATGGGATTTTTAGGGTTTGACCATATGAGAGGTGACATACCTCCTTGTATATGATCCATCTCATCACTTGCCATTGTCAAGATAGCAAGATCAACCAACATGCCATATATTCCCACCCAAAAAGGGAAGAAAATAATGTCAATTCTTTCCAATTTAATCACCCAAAACCTTTGGTTTTTGTTCTGTTTGACTTTGAAAAAATGCATCTTCTTTCTCGCATCATGTTTGTTTGCATTTCAATTGCTGGATCCTAAGCAGATGGCATTTCTGATTTCTGTGCATGATTCCAAGCTTGTTGCTTAAAAAAGCTAAGTAGCCCGACAACAAGTAGTCCCATCAAACTCACTTGCCTTAAACTTTATTTGGTTTTTGTTCTTCTTCTCCCTTCTATAGGCATTAACAAGAATACTTACGTACGTGGAATTGTGGATGTGTCTTGGTTTGATTTGATTCTTGTTAGCACACCCATTTTCTGGTTCCGGATAATATCTAATCTATTAGGACACTGTTTCCTTCTCTGGAAGGACGCATTCATACTTTATGCAAATTACAATTTAATACATATATAAAAAAAAATTAATATCAAAGGAAAAATCTCTACATGCATGTCAAATTATGATTGACAGAAAAGTATGAGCTTCTATTTTCAGCTCCTACTTCTAGGAAATAAGACAAGTATTTTCCTATCAAATAACATTTTTTAGGCCAACGGGGTCTAGCTTAATGGAAATCCCCCATAGCATCATAGCTGTGTTGTGTGTATGAGAAATTCTCCTTTTCAGTAGTTTAAATGATCGTTTTGTACTAAAAAAATTATTTTTGAGAGACATAAATGATAATAATAATATCAAGTAAGTGCAAAATAAAATAAAAGGCCTTGACGGCAAGTGACCCAGGTCAAAAATTGGCTTCAACTTCAACTTGCATTACTGGTGCTTGAATTGAAATTCAACTACTGGATTTGTCCTGTGCGCATGTCTTCATTGCTTTTCATATTATACCCAGGCCTACCAAATCCATCACTGTATTTCTGTAAGAACGATATTTTTTTTGTTTCAGGACACCGTCATGTGGAATGGGGGAAATTACTTTTCTTATCGACGGGTGAGGAGTTTGAATTTTAGAAAATATTAGGAAGAGAAGTATCACTACTTATCAAAAGTTCTTTTTCTGAGCGTGTAACTATTTAATATTTAGTAGGTTTTTTAATATTGAAAAAAAATTCGAGCCTAAATGTTTTTGAAAAGGCGGACTCAAATTTTTTTTAGCTGAGGTGCAATTTTGAAATGCTAAAAGCTTTATTAAAAAAATGACAACCAAATATCCTTATAATTTAAACAATGCCAATGTCATTAATAAATTATAGAAAGAAATAGCACTACAAATAACCTACAATTGTTGTTTTAATCTTTGTTAAAAAAATATATATAAAAAAAGCTTGTTTAAAAGCCCTAGAGGTTAAAGCCTTTTATCATTTATTAAGCAGGCCCTAGAATGTTTGTTAAAGCCCACGAAACATAGTCCAGCTTTCCTTTCCTTTCTCTTCTTTTTTACAAAGCATGGTCCAAAATCGTTTTGGCCAAGATGGGTTTTTTATTTATTATTTATTTTAGGGCAATGATTTCCACACTCCTATTTTATCCACTTACACTTCTTTTTTAGTTATAAAAAAGGAGTGTAAATGGATAAAATAGGAGAAAAAGAAGTGGGGAAATCACCACTCTTATTTTATTTATAAAAAAGGCGTTGTGAGCAGTAGCGCAACAAAACTTGGTTTAGGCAATTCGTCGAGCACTTGGAGTGCACCACCAAAAGGGCAATATGCAGCGCCTACAAAGGCTTTCTCGGTAGAAAACACGAGTATATCAAATACATTTAAGTGTTCAAAATACATGTTAGAACTAAAATTTTCAAAATTAGTCATCTCTAATTGTTTTTGAAGGGCCATTAATTTAAATTACAAGTTGTCTATTAGTAAATTGTTTATAGGAGAGAAGTCAAAAAAATGGAGTGGCTCTGCCACTATTTATGTCTCCTTGCGCTTTAATAGATCCGCCAATAAATAATATTAACTATATAAAGGAGTTTAATAAAAAGTTAAAAAATACACTTTAAATTTCCCAAATTTGCTTTTGTTCTCTTTATTTATCTTTTTACTTTACAACAAGTTGATATGTAATTCCTCTACCATATATATTCGAACATGCCAATCATGATAAGTAAAGTCCACGCAACACTTATCAATGTCTAAATTTTAAGATATTCACATATGAATCACGAGTCTCTATATTTAGCGTCCGTATATTTATTCATACTTAGGTGCATGAATAAGTAACTATTAAATTTCCATGCACTTGGCTAAACAAAATATATATTAGCTTCTTTTGTTTTTCTGGGGTCAACTGATATAAAGTATATCTTAGCTAAACGTAGTGAAATTGACTGGCTGCCATCCATGCATTCTTTTACGGCCATGCTATATTAAAATAAAATTATTTAAAAAAAAAAAAAAAAAAAGCTCCTAGAATTCTTCTCTCTTTTTTTTTTTTTTTTTTTTTAAAACTTTTAAATTTTT